GCAAGCGCCAAGCTATTTCTCCTTGCGCTGTCACGCTGGGTGAGAAGAAAGGGAGACTAAAAAAGCCCAGGCTGCTTTATTTCTTGTTACGAAGCAGCCGTGGCCGCAGGTGTAACTGAACGGATAAGCATGGGCGTACGGTGAGCGATTCTGCGACAGCCTTGGCATGCGAGCCCAAAGTCACCTCCTCCTCCGTCTTCAGCGATACCTGCCAGCATCCCTCCAAAGCACGGCTCTAAACTGGCTTTTCCCATTTGGTTTTCTTTTTTTTTTTGTTAATATGCTGTTAATTAATGAAGCAGAGGCAAAAAACCACACAAACACGACAGAATAGTTTTTAACCTGGCTTGATTAATGCTGTCAAGTTGTACATCTGAGTGTGAGCTCAGTGGGACTGTTGCTTTTGTTTAATACCACAAGACACCTCAGTCTGGATTGTTGCATTACAGTACAAATAAAAAACAGAAACAAAACCACATCTGCATCATACAAGGTGAGGAGAATATGAGAATTCTAAGTATTTACAGAGAAGGGCAAGTGGGGAAACCACAAAAAATATTTACATAAAAATACATGAGCTTGTCGGCATATACATTTTACACCAGTTCACAAAAAAAGACACTATATAAATTAAAGTGAAGGGAACTCCAAAGGTAACCCAAGATTTTTCTGGGATGTTTCTCATGCGGCTCAGGGAAAGAAAAATCCAGTCTTTTACAGCAGGAAAATATACTGCAAAACAACCCTTTTCTCCCCCCACCCCCCACCCCCGCAACTGGACGAGGCAAGACTGCACACAAAGGTACCGCGGTGTATGCTTGTTCAAACCAGACCATGCCTTCCAACATCGGACTGCTGTGGCACGAGGCTCTCGGGGAAAAAGAGTTGCATGCCTAAGCCGCCTGTAACAAAAGTAAGTAAAACAACTTCTCATCCAGATTTCCTAACACGTAACACATCGCTTCGGCTGATGCCCTGTCAGCGTAGTGATGAATGGCAGAGCACACGTGAGGTTCTGCCGCTTTCTGGGGTTAAAGAGGAGGAACAGTATGTTTTCAAGTTGGTTTTGGTTTTGTGTAGCGACTTACTACCACTGTGCAAGCCTTACTGACCCCCCCCTTCAAACAATGAGCATACAACGAGGATCTCTGGAAAGACATAGGCACAAAGTTGTGGGTGGTTTGTCATATATGCATATAGATTTCACCTGATAAGACTCTTTAAAAATCAGAAATGAATGCTTTGCTTAAGACTTCATAGGGGCTCGGTCCTCCTTACTCGCCTAACATCTGCACTCCCCCTTCGCCAGGGAAGGTCTCCTACGGGTCGCACGTTCCGCTCCAAAGCGGAGGCGGAAATCCAGGGTTGGAGCACGCTACCGGACCCTAACTCTTGCACGCGCTAGGGAGAAACTCGGCTGAAAACTTAGGAAGTGGCAATTTAAGATGCAGACAGCTTGTGGCAAGTGTAAGGGAATTATTTAAGAAGACAGCTGCTTGCCATCGTGCTGGGGATGAGGTTAGGCAATAGATTACTTCATCTGAGCAGAACCGGACTTGCCATAGAGTGTTATTTGCATTGCCGTCCCCTTGCTCTCTCCCATTTCTCTGCTAGAACGCCAAGAGCTGAACTACCAATGTGCCTCCAGCGCATCCACCTTGCTTAGGCACCCGGTGCGCCCTCCCCTCCTCGCTCTGCCGCACAACGCCCTTTTGAACCTCCGCTATGATTTTTTGGAAAGATACAGCTGGATGTTTTGACTTTATTGGTGAAGCAATTAATGAGGATGTAAAACTCTAAGGACCATCAGATTAACCACAGTGCAAGAGCAGAACTGCATAGTTCACTATATGGCTTGGCGGGGGGCGGATGCGGGGATGGCGGCTCCATCCTGCTGGGCGTTTAAGCCATGGGCAGCAGCAACACCGCAAGGAAGGTGCTCAGCTGCTCGTTGGCCGGGAAAAGCCGCTGCCTTAACCTTGTTTGTGGTGGTTTGGTGTGGGGTTTGGGGTTTGGTTTTTTTTTGTGTGTAGTTGTGGCTCAACCCTGGCATGCAGAAGTTAGTTTAGGTTCTCTGAGAGCTTCCAGCCCTCGAAGTACACGCTGACGTGGCTGTGTGCAGAAGGATGGGAGGATGCTGGGTATTAAGTTTTCTGCTGTGTGTCTTTTTTTTTTTTTTTTTTTTTTTTTAATGGAGACCTCCTCCTTCTCGAGGGGAAGGCTGTTTGGAGCAGCCGTCTAGGCGTGTGGGTGTGCGCTTCTAGAAGCTCGTTCTGAAAGGTGCTGAAAGCTTTTGTTGAGAGGGTGCTTGGCACCTGGCACTCCATCCAACGCAGTGAGGCGAAGAGCCCAGGCTCAGGCAGTAGCACAAGACTGTAAGGAACAGAAGTTGTCCGGGGATGGCACTTGATCTCTAGAGGGAGACGGTGGCTTTGAGCAGGAGAATCCAGAGAGGCATTTACAATTCGGGGGAGCTGGGTTCAGCCCCGATAGTAGCAGGGTAGTCCCGGCTAACGTAAGGCCCAGAGGGAGGTTAGGAGAGTTGCCGCAGGGGCAGGAGCGGGGAGTTAAGGCTTTCATGGAGAGAAAGAGGTCTGACTTACAGCCCTCGTTACCTGAATCCCAAACAGCCTGAACCAAACACATTGTCCCTGCTCCCACCGGAGACCTTGGCCGCTGTGGGGAGACTGTGCGACAGCGGTCGAGGACTGGTACCAGTCCTAACACAATACACGCCTGCGTCGAGAGAGCACGCGCTTACACGGGGTTGCCCTGGTGCGCCTGCGCCGAGGAGCCCGCGCAGCTCGGCCTTCCCTGGGGCGTTCGCTAGCAATGGAGACAGGGTGGCCCCGCAACGTGGCTCACCTAATGGCCCCTTTCTATGTATTCTTGTTAGTGTTCCTTAAAAGAAAACATTACAAAAAGCATTCCCTCACAAAAAAACCCCACCCCCTCTACCTGGTAATTACTCGCAAGGAGATTGTGGTAACCTGGATCACAGTGCTGCTTGCTTTTTCTTTTTTTTTTATCCTGACTGCCAGATCTACTTCCGTAACATGTAAGGACAATTCTAAACAAAATGCTTACGACGAGAGCATTGCACGATAAAATAGGACCATAAGGTAGTGTTACTGAAACAGCCCCAGACAAGGCTACAAGATTAAAAGAAGCAAACGGCTAAAGACTAGTCAGCTACTAGAAGCAGGTTTTTCCTTATGATTTAAAAGCCCCAGAATAGCCATGAAACTTTTGTTCAAAAAACCCATCTAAGTTCCCTTTACCTTCACAGCTGTGTGCTAACTGCAGGACCTCCAGGTTTTTAATAAAACATTAGAGATTCAGAATGGGTAGAGAAGTTCCTCAACCACACAGAACAGGAATGGCCTTGGAATTTATCAGTGAACATTTAAAAACTCCTAAATCTCAAGTATTGCTTGCAAGCCCTGTCTAACGAAAATGGATGTGCTTTATTTATAAGGTGGGGTTGTAGCGAGTCCTGGGAAGTCTGAGAGGCTGCACGGGAGATGCCACCTGGCTGCTTTTACAATACGGAAAGCTTTTAAATACCTAGGACAAGGTGATTAGTGTATTACAGAGTGCACTGGCCTTCTGTCCCTACTGCTACCTGGATACTGGCATGAGCTACGCTTGCGATACGGGTGGCAACGCTACTTCACAGCGCACAGACAGCACGTAGCTACTCTGTATGTGCCACAACTTCGCAGGGATCCCCTTGCCAACGCAGAACGTGAAGGTTACAGAAAGCTGTGTCCTGTACCCTTCCGTTTACCGTCAGCAGGAGCAGTCCCTGATCAAAGAGCTGCAGGATCTGGCCCAGGGCAAATAGCTGGTCATGCAGGGAGCTCGGCACTTACGCAGGCATTCCCAGCTGGTAAGTTGGGCTCCAATTTACAAGCTGGACATAATGCTATAGATTTTTTAAAAATTTTTATAGTTTTTTTTTTTTTTTTTTTTTTTTTCGAATTTTTTTTTTTTTGGAGAGAGATGATGCTGCCTGGCCAGCCACAACATGGTATTAAATTGTCTGGACTGTAGATAGCCTAGCAGTAAAGAGGGACTGGCATGAAATGGGTGTGCTGTTCCCAACTGTCTGTGTATGGTTTGGTGTATTTTTGCGTTGGTTCCCCCCCCCCCCCCTTTTGGTATGAGAAATGCAAACCTGCCCTACTTGGCTTCCATAGCTGGCCTCTGCTTACAATAGAGAAATTTTAAAGTAATTTAATTTCTTGTAGTCAGAAGCAGCTTGTTAAGCAAGCAATTGAGAAAGTGCGTTGTATTTTGAACTTGCTTCAGAGCCTATTCCACAGGCTTGAAGTCAAACAGGCTCCCACCCGCTTCAAAGCAATTGAAGTGCACCCACTACACCTAAGCAATAATTTTAAAGGGAGAGGCAGGACCTCGGCATTTATCAAGAGGAAAATATTTAGGAAGTCTTTCCCCCCCTGCCCAGCTTTTAGCCCACCATCGCTGCGTAACCTCAGAGGGGGCAGGACGGCGGTTCTTGCAAGGCGCGTCGTGGAGAGCCTTTCTTGGGCGCTAGCAGTGGGATGGGCAGCGTACTGCTCCCGGGGAGAACTGCTGCGTGCACAGTCCATCACGCACAGGACCACGGCGGTGTGCTGAGGAAGCGGTGGTAACTGCCAATGTCAAATCTGGGGAAGGAAAAAAACTTTTCCTTCCCGCCCCCTGCCCCAACAGCATCTCTTTCGGCTCTGCCTGGCCTCTCTGGCAACAACTGTGTGCCAACAGCCTGCCCTATCGTTCCAGTTGTCTCAAAACTACATGAAAAAGCTATCTCTCTACTATGTAAAAACAGTGAGTGGTGGGCTGGTAGGAATGGGGCTGAAGGTGGGTTTGCTTTGCTCATCGGGGCAGGGTTGGGTGCTTTTTTTTTTTTTTTTCCGTCACTGAAAAAATAAAACAGTCCGCTGTCCAGCAGAGGCTGCTTAGACTCTATCCCTCCTCCCCCCCCCACCAGCTCACTCAACGTGGACCTCTGTTTCAGGCCTCTGCAAACACAGCTCCGTCGGGAGGAAGGCTCCCTGGCCAAGGGCCGTGGCGTAAGTTCTACTGTGCACGTGGGTAAAACTGGGGGGCACAAACCCCCCTCCTCCAACGTAGCCCCCTCTTTGGTGCTGAGGCATGGTATGGTAATCCTCCACGTTATCGTACTGGGACACCATAGTCATAGTGCTTTGGCGTTTCCCAAGGGTTTGGTATGGGTAGAGGAGGGCAGAGTCCCTCTCCATGGTTTCGGGGTGCTGCATTCTGAGGCTGTGGCTCCGTTCGGGCTTGGGCGGCGGTGCCATGGGGGAGGCAGCGTGCTCCTCCTCTTTATAGCAGTCTCTGGAGTGTTTCTCTATGGATGCAGTCGGCCTGGCTCGGGACCTCTCCAAATCCGGCCTGTCCTCTGCCAACCTCACCTCCTTGTGGTTCAGTCTCAGGGTCTCCTGGTTTGCCGGGATGTACTTCCCGCCCGGGTGCTGGTAACCAATGGGCTCGGAGGGCTCTGGGCCACCTTTGGGCCTGTAGTCGGGATAAGGGGGCCCGTTTTTGGATTCGGAAGGCTGCCTATGGCTTGCTTCCTGCTGCAAGTGCGTCCTGTGTTCGTTTGCGTTGCAGCCCGGCTCGTGCAGCTTCCTGTTCCGGACGCTGCTCTGCTTCTGGGGAAGGGACGGCTTCTCCGACTGCCCGTTCCCGTAGGCCCCGTGGTAGTGGGCTCTGTCCAGCTCTGGCTCAGGGTGCTGCATGTAGTAACGTTCGTCCCCCTCGGGCGTAGCTGCTTTCGCCGGGTACCTCCCCTCCTTCCCTTCTGCCACGGTGAGGAGGCCAGTTTTCCCAGGATCTGATTTGCTGCGCAAGTGAATCGCATCCAGTCCTCCCAGTTCCTCCTGCAGCAGCGGGGCCATGTTATCATACTGGGACATCACCGGCCCCTTCACCTTCTGGCGCGTGCGGCTGTCGCGGCGAATAGACTGCATGCGGTACTTCTCCATGTCCTCGAGGTCCCACGACATGTACATGTGCTTGATGTCCGGGGCAGGAGGCACGTCTCTGCTGACGAAGCTGTGCTCTTTGCCTGCCAGGTGGCTGATGAGGCCGCCCCGAGGGTAGGCAGACAAGCTGGGATAGCGGTACAGGCCTTTGCTTTGCAGCCGCGAGGCGTACGAGGCAAAGTCTCGGCTGGGCAGGGCGTGGAAAGGCCTGACCCGCACAGTGCTGTAGGGGTCCAGGTCGTAAAAGCTCCCATCAGCAGTGGTGTAATAAGAGGAGCCGGAAGAGCTGGAGTAAGGACTGTACCGGTAATGTACCCGCCCGTTCTCAAAGTAAGGCTGCAGCTGCGTTACGTGGTAGTCGGAGTGGGGCTGATACGGCTTGTACTGATAGAGGGGCCGCGGGCAGTACACCGGCTCGTCGTCCGGAGGCACCTCGGTCCGTGAAATGGGAACGGAGCGGATAGCGGAGGCGGCAGGGGTGGGGACGTGCAGCGACTGAACCCTTCGGATAGTGGGGTAGGGCGGAGCATCCTCGGCATAGCCGGCGTTACGCAGGCCCGTCGGGCTCACGGAGGACACAAACTCGGTCCGGCTGCGAGGCTTGGCGTGGAGAGCCGAGGTGCTCTTCCCTTGGTTGGTGTAGGTGTTGTAGCGAGTGCTTGCAGAAGTGGGCGTCTCTGACCGAGGAGGGTAGGCTTGGTGCTGGTCAGGCTTGCTGTGGTAGGAGATGTGAGGAGGAACGCTCTCAGGCCTGTACTGATGGATGGAAGCCGGCTTGTGGTGCACGTAGTTGTCCGGCCCGGAGGGCTCGGGGATGCTCTCCGGCTTGGGATGCGGCACATACACGGACTGCAGGGAAGCGTGCTTGGGTGGTGGAGGTGGCGGCGGCGGCAGCAGGGCTTCCTCCACAGAGGAGGCCAGCATGGAGGAAGACAGGAAGGCGTGATAATTGGAGTTGTGGATGGCGTCTGTGTTGTTTGAGTGCATGGCGGCAGCGATTTTGCTCTCCAGCGTTCTCACAGGTGGGACGGGGGGTGTAAAGCTGTAGGAGGAGTGAGTAGGGACGGACTCGGACCGCAGGTGCAGCGGGGGAGCCCTCGTAGTCTCCCGAGGCTTTTCCAAATGGCTCTGGTGGCCCGTGGGCATGGAAGAGGAGCAGCGGGTGGTAGAACTGCTGTCTGGGAGGAAAACCGGAGCAGGCTCAGGTGGCTTTTCGGGTGCGGTTGCACCCCATACCTACAGGGAAGAAACCGGTAGAAGTTAGAGGCAAGCATCTTCCCCCCCCCCAAATCTGTAGCTAAAGTATCACGGATGCTTGTATGGATTAGTTCAATGTAAGTGTGGTTTTGTTTGGTGTGTTTTTTTTTTTCCCCTGTGCCTGGTGTGTGTTTGCTGTGGAGAGCTAGTGCTGCTCGCTGTAGAAGAGGAGAGGTGCGGGTTCCCTTTTGCAGCAAGGGCAGCGTGATGCCCCTGGGAGATTTCGGGACCTGTCACAAATGGCAGCCGAGGGGCGTGCGAGGGCTCTCTCTGCACATGTCAAACTGGAGGAAGGGGAGGAGGTGGCCGTCTCTCCATAGCAACAGGTTAAAACTTTTACACGGTGGCCCGCAGTGTTTTGCTAGGTGGTGCGCTTATAAATGTACTTGTCTTACTGAAAATGTACCTGGATTTAAACTCCTCACGCCCTGCTGAGCAGATCGAGTAGCGTAATACAGCAGAAACCCCTTCCTCAAACGTGCCTGCAATGCTTAAGGCAGGCTGCAGGCGCGCACGTTTCATGGGCAGCGGGTAGTTCGGGTTTCTGAGTGAACGCTTCCATGTCTGACTCGCACTGGGAATCTGACTCGCTTTATTAAAGAGGGCGTTGGAAGAGGATATTGTCAGCCTCAGTGAGGATGTAAAAACTCTTACCTGCCCCTGAGCACTTCTAAACCAGCATTCCCTGTATCAGTCACCCCAGCGGATACTTTTTTCCTTAAAACCAAGGGATGTTCCCTTGCGTTCACTTAGGAAATTCTGTGTTGCTTTCCTGTGAGGCTGTGTCTGTGTCATGTTGCTTCCAGCGACCCGTGAATCCCCTTGCCTCTTGCCATTTGGGTTTGGACCAACCCTCCCAGAGCTCAGCCTCCTACAGTTACAGACCGGCTGTGCATGGATGCTGTGCTTGCAAATATGTGCAAGGCTGGGGGGGCACACCCACGTACCTGGCTGGAACTACTCGCTGCTTTTGCTGAGGCCGCTGGCACTTGTCCCGTTGCCGACTGGTGATCTTGCCTCTGCGGCGGGGCGGGCTGGCTGGTCGCGAGCGTGCGCTGCGCGGCTGCGACGG